AAATTAGTAAAAGCATCTATATCCACAATACATAGTTAAGTAATATACAAAACAAAAAGACATAAAATATGGTGTAAATAACATTCAACGTGTGTTGGGGAGAGGTGATAAATGCAGGGTTGCATTTTAACTTGTTATCATCAACTTTAAAAAATCATGTAAAGTTGCTATGTGTAAACTTCATGGTAACCACAAAACAAAAACCTAAAATAGATACATACACACACACACACACACAAAGAAATCCAAATATAACACTAAAGATAGTCATCAAAATTACAGGGGAATATATATTCACACACACAATGGAATATTACTCAGCCATAACAAAGAATAAAATTCTGCCATTTGCAGCAACATGGATGGACCTAGAGAATATTATGCATAGTGAAATAAGTCAGACAGAAAGACAAACACTGTATTCATACTCATTTGTGGAATCTAAAAAATAAATGTATACAGCAAAACAGAAACAGACTCACAGATATAGAAAACAAACTAGTGGTTACCAGTGGGGACAGGGAAGGGGGAGGGGCAAGATAGGGGTAGAGGATTGAAAGATACAAACTACTTTGTATAAAATAGATAAGCGATAAGGATATATTGTACAACACAGGAAATTATAGCCACTATTTTGTAATAACTTTTAATAGAGTAAAATCTATAAAAATGCTGAATCACTGTGTTGTACACTTGAAACTAATATAACACTGTAAAGCAACTATACTTCAATAAAGAAGCAAAAAAAAAAAAGAGAGAGAGAGAAGACAAATTAAGAAAACCGAAATTCCGTGAACAAAGAACAGCATATCTCACTAAAATTTTTAAGCATGGTTACAGATATTACCTCATTTAGATATGACAACAGCCCTATGAGGTAATTACATTATTAATTATACTTAACAGATAAGGATGCTGAAGCAGAGAGCAGTGAGCCCAGGGCCACACATCTGAGCGTCTGTAGCGTCCTGTGACAAGTTATTCCTGTCTTTGCTTGTTTCTGTCCCCCTCTCTGATTGCCTCTTCTCCAGGAACACACACAGACTGCTCATCCTTTAGCTTTCCGGCTGCCTCTCTTCTTGCCAGAATTGCTGAGGCAAGTTTAATTTTTCTTAAGGAAAAAAAAAAAAAGCCAAAACCTACAAGACGCTTGTTCCAAAGAAATAACAGATTCGCAGATTTCATTCACCTGGTGATCGTTTTTGTTCACAAAAAATAGAAACTGCCACTCGCAACCATCCCACAACCGGCCACCTCTCTCTGTTTCTTCCCAAATGTCTAAGTCCACACCTAGCTGCATCACTGCAATCCCCTTCCACCCTTCATGCCCCCAAACCCCTTTCACTACCGTGTCCCTCCTCCGGTCACTCTGTATTTCAGATGAAACCGGCCCAGCCAGGTAAAGGGAGGGAAAAAAAAAAAAAAAAAAAGGCCGTTTTGGGCAGGGCAAGTTGTACCTGCCTAAAGGAAATGCTTTTCAGTCCCTCCTTCCCACTGTGGGGCGTGGCTGCCGGCGAAGGATGGAGTTCGAGCGGGCTCCCACAAAGGAAAGTCTGTGGGCACTGAGGTTTCCGGGACTCACCACACATGAGCCAGCGGGAAACCTCTGCCGAAACTGTAAAAGCTGGACTTGCTGCCGATCAACTTGTTCATTTCCTTCTCTAGCGATTGCTAGACGGGTATGAAGGGGCCGCGCGTCCCGGTGCCGATGCCGTCATGATGAAGCGCAACAGCGCCACCTCTCGTGCGACCCAACCACAGCTGCCGTCATCAGTGCGCAAAACGGTCAGAATTTGACGTTTAGCTCCAGGGACAATGGCAATTCCAAGCCTTTGCTGGGTGCACCAGAGAATATGACCACTGCTATGACATGAGGGAAGTGATATGGAGTGAGTGAAAATAAGAATCCAGGGAGCAGGTAATGAATCATTCATATATGCTTTTAAAACAATCTCTGTGCTGGGCTCTCTTCTAGAGATACAGTGATGGACACGATAGTTATGTTACGTGCCCATATGGAATTTACAGTCGTAAGAAACACCAAAGAAAATACACCATTGGGAGAATTCTAAATCAGATATTAACCCCTTATGCAAATTCTATTAAAGGCATATAGGTCATAGGCTGAATGGATGAGCAGCGTGCCCAGCATTGAGCGCACACCGAGCAGAAATGGACATCGTCAGAACAGAAACAATTTGGGTGCCATGTAACGTGGCGTATTTAGAGAGTGAGCTACTTCAGTTCTCTAGAGTCTGCGCTATTGCTATTTTTGTCTCCTTTGGAGCTCTTTAAAATAGGATGAACCATACTGAATGCCACTGAATCGTACATTTAAGAATGGCTCGTGGTTAATCTTACATTATGTGAGCTCTACCTCAATTTATAAAAAAGAAAGGATAAAATCTCATCAGTCAATTGTTCTTCTCATGTTTTATATCGTAATTGATAAATAAAAGCCAAAGGAACTGATCTGATTTTCATATTATGTAATCTCCTTACTCTACCTCCCCAAGAACTCTGAACTCTTTGAAGTCATAGACTGTGGCTTACTTATTATAGCAGTCACTGCAGGACCCTAGCATATTGCTAGATACCCAACCTGATATAGAAACTTGTTTAAAAATCTAGTTATTGTAAAGAGCTGTTATAGTCACAGAATTTATAACCTCTAGGATCTAGAAATTTAGATAGATACATAGATACATAGACAGACAGAAGGAAGATAAATTCAAAATTTTATCCTCCAATTTTAATGAACAATTCAAACAAATGATTTTTAAAATTTATGAGATAGAGAAAACTCTAGAAATAACAATGCTCCGACACAAAAACACCTACATACGTACGGGATAGAGAATCCTAGTTAAACAGAAGATATAAACAGGATGTCTACATGTGTGACTGTTCCCACACGTATATGCACGAGTAAGGTGACTAGATAACCCCTTACTTCTCTTTTCTCTTCAAGTGTTCATTCCCTTATAATTTCAGCTACCTCTGTCTCAAACTTCTGGCCCTCTGACTCATTTTCAGCAATGCTTTAGTCCACCCATCCCTGCCGGGTTATTTCTACCTCATCGTTAATTCAATCGGCACATTTATTGACTGTCCATTTTCTGCTGTGCCCATGTTAAGTACTGAACGGTGGGAAGTCACACTGAAATAAACACTAGGGGCCTCTTCATTCTGTTGTTTGGTCCACATACACCTCTACCAGATCCTACTCTCCTCTAAATTCCTACAACAGCCACCCATTCGTGTGTTGTTTAGTACATTCTGTCCTGTCTGATTCTAACAACTCTGAGTAGGAATTCCAGCTTGAAGACCGGTGGGGTGGCCACTCCTGAAATCTATTGACGTGAGGCATGGAGAACTCCCTGGGAAATTATTCATTGTAAGGAAAGAGTCGGGGCAAGAAGGCTTTGCCCAATGACAAGAATAGATTGATGTTCAGTTTTGTGTCTGTCTCTTTATAAAGTCCTTCAGCTGAGGGCTTGTAGCTGAGTCTTAGGGAAAGACGGCTGTAAAAGCAGAACTGGTCGAGTTATTTCTCAAAACAGAAAAATGAAACAAAACAAAAATCTGCAATAGACCTTGAGTAACATTGCTTTGGAATTGTTTCAAAAGAATTTAACACTAAGGCGAGGCAGATAGATTCTTCCAATTTAACTGAAAACAACCCAACTTCACCATAAGAGGGCAGCAGGGAGCCACCAGTGGAAGACATTCACAAGCCCCCAAGGCTTCCGAGAGGAGGTCTGCAGGGCACCGGGGAACAGAAGCTGTTGACGAAGCTGTGGACAGAGGCAGTGATAGAGTCCCTGCCGCAATGCCCGCCACCTAAACGGGGCGTCTCGGGCACTCTCAGGAAAGGACACTGCCAACTAATTGTCGCTCCCCATCTGACACTACAAGAACGGTCACCAGCCACTACAGTAGTCCCTGACCTGCAACACACCCTGAGATGGGAGATTTATTTCATGCTTTTTTTATATACCTTTGAATATTTTTGCCTTGTGCATATTATCAATTTTGACTCTTCTAAACTTGCAAAGCAATACAGCTCTTGAATAACCCATTTTCTCCAGCTGGCCACGTCTCAAACCGGCCAAGTACGGTCCCACCCGAGAGCGACTGCACCTGCTCCCTCTGCCTGGAATGTTCTTCTGTCCAGATATTCAAATGGTATTGATCCCTCACCATAGGACAACATTTACATATTTTATCACATAGGAGAGACACCTCCCCCCCATTTAAAATAAACACACCTCACACAATTATGCCAATCTCCACCCTTTGCCATGTTTTTTCTTTATGCATCTACTGCCATCTGACACTACATGTCACATGTGTTTACATATCTGTTGATTCTCTCATTCACTCACTAAGACACAGCTCAGGGGGACCGAGGTCTTTTGTTGGTTTGTGCCTCTAGAGTGGCACTGGGCACAAACCGAGGCTCCACGTGCACTTGAGTTGAGGAATACATCTGCAAGGTGCGGTGGGTCTGAGGAGTACCCACACAGAACTCACACACCCTGCAGAGCTGCTCAGCCGGGGACCCAGCTAACCCCTGGGGGAAGAAATCTGAAGTGCGTTTGAAACGAGGCCCCCTTTCTCTTTTCTGAAAGACATACGTAGACAAGCCCGGCGCTGCAGTTGGTGTTGAAAACCTCCGCGGGTGCCAGTTCAGGGATGTCAGCGCTGCTAACTCCTCCGCTGAAGGAGGCTGATCGCCTGCGCGCCACCAGTCCCCTCAGCGACGACGACGCCAGAGGCGCGGAGCAGCAAGCCCAGCGCGCCTCCTGCCGGGCGCAGCCCTGAGCTGGTGCCAAGAAGAACCCCCTTCCCCAAGGTCTCAGCTCCAACGCCCGCGCCCATCACACAGCGCAGCTCCACCTGGACGTTCGGCTGTGCGCTTGCTGTTCAGTGAATGGGGCGAGGACAAAAGACGAAGCACACGCTGAGGTAGGAAAACAGACTTGAGTTATACATCCTTTCCTTTTAAGGGTAAAAATTTTATTTTTGAGGAACTTCAGACTGCACATTTTCAAAGAGAGTCACATCAGAAAGCAAAATGTTACCCTCCCCTCATCCTAGAAATAAATAAGAAGGGCATAAAATTTCTTTTTAAATCACGACACTTGGAAGTTTAGCACCAGCATCCAAAATGAACAAAAAAGGAAAAAAGCATTTACTATATATTTCAGATTTCTTTGGTTGGGGGGGGTCTCCCCATGTGGTATTAATAATTCCTCTTTCAATTCATATTACCAAAACAGTAAAAACCAGAAAAAATAATAATAAACCGAGTGGTTGCTGAAAGCGGGGAGGTTGCTCTCTTGCTCTGTGCAGGCATTCCCAGGGTCTCAGCTTGCTGGAGACATCGGCTGACGTTTTCCTTGTGTAGCTGTTTGTCTTGTCAAGAACAATAGTAAACATTCTAATGTCCACATCTTGGTTACTAGTCTTCCACTTTATTGCTTGGACGTTTCTTTGGTGTTGGTAAGGTCGTGCTCTGCTTTTTGCTTAGTTTTATTTTTTGAATGGTCATTAATTTCTTAGGTCACCTGGAAAAAATTCAAATCGAAATTATAAAGAGTGGCACAATGACCGAGAGTTAAAGCATAAAAAGGCAAAAAATACAAAACAATTATGTAGTTCAAAAAGCAGTATTTCAAAAGCTCTAAACAAAATCTACATGTGTATCTTTTATAGATTTGCAAACTAAAACATTAATTTAATGGAAACCTTTAAATATTTTAAAAAACCAGAACAGTCAGGACATAATAGTAAAAATTCTGTAAAATTATATAAAAGAAAATTACCAACATGAAGCCTTTTCAAATAAATGACACTATAGCATTGATGACTCTTCATAAGCATTTTAATGGCTGTACAGTATCTCCTCATATGAATATACCACAATATTAACCACTTCTCCAATATTAGACTACAAATAGTAGAAATATGTTTCCTGTATTTTGGATTATTTATTTCCTTAGAGAAAATACCTGGAAATAATGTTACTAAATAAAAGGTTATGACCAAATAACTGACACATAATTCTGTCAGCAAATGCAAGCAAGTCGAACATGGAATTTATTTCTATGATAAACTTTCCATGCTACCCAGAAATAAAACAGAATATTCTCAGCATAGCAAATGGTCACCAGTGAAAGGCTAATTTAAATCCCAAATCTCTGCATATAAAAGCAGACAGCATTTATAGAGTAGAAACTTACGGGGAGGGTATAGCTCAAGTGGTAGAGCGCACGACCAGTGTGCATAGGGTCCTAGGTTCAATCCCCAGAGCCTCCTCTAAAAATAAATAAATAAACTTAACTACCCCCCCACTAAATAAATAATTAAATGAAAAATTTTTTAAAGTAGAAACTTAATAATGATCGCAAAACTTTATGAAATCTTAATTTTTGGAAAAATAACACTGAGACTATGAACTTTACAACATCTCTTTTAACTAACAGCTAATTCTTTATTTACTTAATGGAAAGGGCAACAATTAAGAAATACTGAAAAATTAGAGTCTCAGGACTTACTGGATGAAAAATCTAGAATGAAACCAACTACGGCTTCTAAATTCTTTGAAGACTGGCTCCATAACTGAGTCAGTCTTTCTAGTATATGTCTACCTGTATAAATGCAATTTCCAAGATCTTTAACAAGACGATAGAAAAAAGCAGGAAGCAACAATGAACAAAATCAAGCTGGCTTTTACGGAGCGGCCATCCTTCCCCACGCCCTGCTTAAGTACATCGTACGTGGCACTGCACTAGATGCGTGCAGCGGCCGCAGTGGGCAAGTCTGGCGAGCAACCTCATCTTACGGGCAGCAGACATTCCTGAGGCCGAGGATGAAGCAACTGCTGGCGACCACTCAGGCACGAGCAGATCCTGCACTGCACACATAAACCCGGCTCTCACGCGCCACATGCAGTGTCTCAAAATAAATGGTGGTGGCTATCAAAGGAAAAGGGGAAGGGAAAACCACTCTGGTTTGTTCCACGGATCACAGTCCTGTTCCTCAAATGAGGCCTTTAAATGGTCAAACTGGCCACTAGGTGTCACAAAGGTAAAACTTTTCAGAAGTTTTCTTAAGTGGTATTAATAGTTAACAACTGTCTATCTAGAAAAAAGAAGTTGACTCTCCTTAACCCTGTCTGCGTGTTTATGCCCCTAAAACTTGGCAAAAGCAGGTCAGTCTCAGGGAGGCTGACCACCAATACCACCACCGAAACCGCTCTTTCTCCAGCATCCTGATGGAGACGGGAGGTTGGCCCAGATGCATCTCAGAACCAGTGTCGGCCAGTCGGCGCAACTGTGGAGAAGGCAGCGCTGTGTGAAAGGCGCAGCGGTCCTACCTGCAGGTGGTGAGGTGCCTGGGGAGCCTGCTGTCACTCAGCACTGCTCTGCTCGGTGGCCGGAGCGGGGTTCTCAGATGGCGCGTCGCCTGCCTTGGTCTAAAACACACAACAAAACCACAACCCAGAAACAAATCAATTCAGATGGCAGTGGAAGGTCCAAGGCTAAAATCTCTAAAGTTGGAATCTTCCTGCCTGTGAAGGTAAAGCACTGTGCAAAATCTTAACGATGCTAAGGTATGCGTCAAAAATTAGAACCAGAGAAAAATGGCCTCTAAATGGCGACGAAGCCCCACTACTCCCCTGAACAAAAAGCCGTAAAAAATTATATAGTTGCTTTCAACACATGCTGGGAGGTTGACAGGCTCTCTGTAAGTGCTGTCCTTTGTCCAGAGAGCCCTGAATGCTTCAGCTCTGAGTCCCCATTAGTACGGCTAATTAGTTGAATTCAAATATTTGATCTGTGTTATGTGCAGGGCATCCCCTCCACCACATACATATACACGGATCTTAAGAAAAATGTTAACTATATATAAAAATATTATATATATTATATGTATCTGAAGTCTCAGTTTTCAGATTACAAAAGCACTCTCAGAAGGGATACTGAAGTTGGACACGGTTAAGGATGCTCTGGCCGCCTCCCCTCCAACTGGCTGGCTTCACGCACCTCTTTGCCATCTTGTGCAGGAGCGTTCGGAGGGCGGGGGCGGCGCCGATAGTTATAGGGGCGCCGGTATCCACGACGAACAGACGGCTGGTTGGGACCACTGGCAGCTTGTTGATTCTCTTTATCTTCAGCCTCTCCAGCAGCTGGGGCGGGTCGTGGGCGAGGAGGGCCCCTGGAGCAGGGAACACGAGAGAACAGAGGACACGAGCAATGGGACGGGGTCCTTGGGAACGTGAGGTTTTATTCTCAAAGGTTACCAAGTCAAGGGATTGGGACTCACTGCTAGAATTAGACACAGACTAATGCGGCAAAGGGAACAAGGTGTAAAAAAAACTGCTTTTCCATCATTTTCCCCCTTCACCCGGACTCCTGTTTGTGGTGAACAAACGTATGCTGAACACAGCAAGGTCCTGGCAGGCCCTCTGGCGGGCACTGAGGATGGGAAGATTAAGAAAGAAAATGGCCTGGTCCCTGCCCTCCGAGGACCGTGTGTCGGGGAGACTCAGGGGACTGAACATGGGGAGAAAACTAGCATCACTCACTTTGTACCAAAGCCTGTGCTGGGATGTTTTCGTGTTAAATATTTAATTCAATTTCAGCACTAATTCTGTGAGTTAAGATTTGTAGAGAGAAAACCAGGAAGTTTAGAGAGGATAAGTATTTGGCTGAAACGTACTGGATTATTGCTTTTATAGGTCAAAGAGCCCAGAGTCCCACAGCTCGGGACTCACAGAGCTGGGATTCGTGTATGCTACCGTCTTTTTTCTGTTTTCATTAAGACATTTCTATGAAGCCTCTTCTATTTCCAAAATCCTAATAAATCATTAGAAGGATTACGTCTAAAACTGAAATGAATCTTATGAGAAAAAAAGATGCAGAGTGGTACAAATCCTCTCCCAGAACCATACACTCACTCTCCTCTCAATAAACCCACGCTGCCAAACCCTGAGGTGGTATGAATGAAGCTCTATTTTTTTTACTTACATCAAGGGTAGGGTGAGGAAACAGGAAGGCTTATATAATATAAAAAAGCTTAAAAGAACTTAGGGAGTCTAGCCCAATTCAGTCATCACAGGGGATAAAGCAGAAATAAAATAACACTCCCTTACTAACACTAAGATCGCTGGTAGTAACAATAAGCGGTATTTACTGAGGGCTTTCTAGACCAGGCACCGGACTGATTGTCGTAAATGCCTTAGTGCATTGAACCCTACTGACAACTGTAGAATACTGCTTATTGTCCATTTTATAAACCTGGCGACTAAGTCTAAGAGGATTCTAGAAACTTGCCAAAGTAATTGTAGGGTGGGAATTTAAACACAGACCAAATTTCATCTGTATCCTGATGTAACCCTGTATCAGACTGCCTCGGCTATCAGAGTATTCAGTATCCCAGATACTCCCTGGCACTCAATTCTTCCTCCGTTTGTAGCACTACCCATCAATTAATTTCTGTTTGTCTCATTAAGCATAAGAAAAATTAAGCATTAATTTATATCACGTGAAACAAATAATGCTTTGGTGCAGGGATAACTTAAAAAATTCTAATTGTTAAGTAGGGGGAAACGTCACACAGCCATCTAAAATAAAACACCCCAGAGTCCCACCCCAAACCTGGACGTAAGGTCAAAGCAGCAGCATCTTCAGTTGCATAATAAACCCAGAAAGCTGACCCACAACTTCCGCCTCCATCCCACTGTCACTCCCAAGTCCTTCAGCCAGTCGCCGTCAGTAGGAAACACATACCTACGGAACCTCGGGCGGTAAGTCGGATTCCGATGGACTGGTCCCTGAAGTTGTGCTCCGTCTGGAACTCCATCCTTTATCTCCCCAATCTCACCAGCCTAGAAGGGGGCAAGGAGAGCGTCAAGCTACAGGACAGAAGAGATTCGGCACACAGCTGCGTTCAGAATTTTTTTTTTTAAAGGAAAAAAATAGAAGGTTTCATTACAAAGCTGGGAACTCTCAACTCTAACAGGGAGCTACGCACTGATTGGATCTTTGTGAAAGACAGGAGAGAAAGAAAGATTCTCTCCCACTAGACAGTATTTTGCCTGATCCCAGTGCACCTAATTCTATTTTAAAATATTAAACACTTTGAAGTGTTCCACACATCTCTTGAAAGAGAACCTCTATTCTAAAAGGACAAGGAATGATATTCTCACTGGAGCAATGAGAATCTCTTCAATCTTTTCCAACTCAGACGCACCGATCCTGCAGACAGGGTGTCCCCTCAACACGGTAATGCCTTCTCCACTCAAAGGTTCTCCCGCGCCTCCTAACCACACCTTCACCAGATTTCTTCCTTTCACTATTTTTTTCCTTTTATCTATTTACATTCTTTACTTAAGTAAAACATTTTAAAAAAATAAAATAAAACATACTTCCTTGAGAAATTTATTTTAAGCTGGGGGGGTAAAATTAATTCACTGCAGAACTTCCAAGAGAAGAAAGAATGAAAAAACTAACAAAAAATCCGAACAGCAATCTCTGAAATTCTTACAATACAGCCACATCTCAACCTTTTTTTTCCGCCTCAAAATGAATATCCCTTCCTTCTCCATACTTCACCAAGAAAAGAGAAGCAATCAGAGAAGAATTTCCACGTTAACTATCAAATCTACCAACTTACCTGCCTTTGTTTTCCTTCTCTCATTACACTGATTAAGTGGTCCACGCTCAAAGCCAAAGCCGACCGACCACCTCTCTCGCCTACCTGAGCCTTCAACTCCGCCCCTTTCACTGGACGTCAGTTCCCTTCTCCCCGCCATCATCTCCACCCAGGCATAGAAATGAGCTGAAATAGCACCCATCTTCTCCAACTTTTTTCTTTAAATAATCACAAACTTACAGGAGACTTGGAAGTATAGGATCTAGCCCTCAGACCCCATTCAGGCTTGCCACTTGTCCCCAAAATGCCCTTCACAGCAACAAGACGCATGGAGAACCACACCTTGGACTGAGCTGTCTCTCCACCTGGAACAGTCCTTCGGTCTCCACCTGGCTTTCATGACCTTGGCACTTTCAAAGGCTACAAGGCCAGTTTATTTGTAAAATACCTCTCAGTTTTGGTTGTTTGGCGTTTCCTCGTGGTTTAGTTTACGCACCTTTGGAAGGGAAGCCACAAGAGGGGCACTGAGCCCCTCTCACTGCGCCCTGTCCCACGGCGCCTGGTTTCACTTCCCACCGTTATGGACAACACTGACCTTGAGATGGCGTTAAGGCTCCTCGCTGTGAGTTTCTTCCCTCCCCCCCTTTGTAATTTATGCGGATTTTGTGAAGAAGTACGTTCAAAGTCTGTAAGTATCTCATTTCCCCTCAAATTCAGTATCTGTATTTCTTTCTCTCTGCAAAGATCGCACGGTTCTCTGTTTTATTCCATGAGTGAAAGTCTGTTACTCTCATTACTGGCCGGTGGGAGCCCTTTCACGCTGGCTCGGGTCCCTCTGACCCGGCTCCAGCATTCTCTGAGCACTTCCGTGCTTCCTGGCACAACAAGATGTTCCAGGCTCATATTGTGCTTTCTCTGGCCTGGCTCTGAAATCAGCTGTTTCTCCAAAGGAGCTTCCTTTTATTGGGGAATGGTATCTATAAATGAAAAACTGGAGGCCAGGCATGCTTAATGCTATTAAGGTGTCATTGACTTCAGGCCATTTTGGGAGACAGAAATAAGAAGCACACAACACACACAAATACACACGCACGTACAAACACCTGAGTTACACGCATATAAATGGATATGGATGTGTGTGTGTGTGTGTGTGTGCGTGTGTGTGGCATATTTGATCTGGCCATCTAACAGCTTCAGAAGTAAGCTGTTGGTGAGGGAAAGGGTAAGGGAGAACAGGAGTGAATTCATTCAATGTAAAAACAAAATCAAATCAAACAGAACCCTTGCCCTGCCCCACACCCTCCCCCAGCCCGTGCCCCATCTCCCTGAGCTCCCTCACAGACATACACATTAAACCACTTCTCCCACCACAGAAACCTCCTCAAAGGTGAAATGTGATACCCCTTCCTCCTCGGTATGCTGCCTCCTTCCGGCTTTTCTTGAATTCATTCTAATCAGACTTCTGTCCTCACCACACCACTAACCTCCGAGTACCAAAGCCACTCATCAAGTCTCAGCCTCACTCCCTCCACTGACCCACAGCACTTAATACAGCACCCACTCCCTTCTGGAAGTACGTTTCCCTGCCTGCTCCCTTTCTCGAGTCCTCAGCTAGACTCCTCCCCTCCCAAATCCAATCCTGAAACGTCAGGGTGCCCCAGACCGCAGTCCCATGCTCTGTTTCACTTGTTCGACAGTGCCTCTCACCAGCACCACGCCCTTGGGTGTGTTTTGATGACTCCACAAGTGGATCACAGCCTGGTCTCCTCCACTTGGGGCTCCCCTCGGCCCTCACCCTTGTACGTGCCCTTCCCTCTGCCTCTCATGCCCTTCCAGCATGTGAGTGCCTCGCTCCATTGCTCCTTTTAGGTCTCGCCCCAAATCCAACCCAGGACTTTGTCAGCCACCTTAACTGAAATCACACCTTCTTAACCAAGCCACTTTCTACCTCTCGACTGTTTTATTTTTCTGCCCACTTAATGTCTCCGCTTGGAGGCAACACTGCCTGTGTGAAGATGACCTCCAGATGACTCCTGCCTCTCCCCTTAAACCCGGGGTCTCGTCACAAAGGCTTCCTTCACTCCTCACGCCACACACTCACTCCAACATAAAGGCTGTCACTTCTGTGTTTGAAACACGTCCTAAATCTGACCTTATCACACCTCCACTGTGGCAGCTCTAGTCCATGCCACGGTCGTCTCTCCACAGGGAAATCCTTAGAGCGGGTCGGCCGACTCCTCCTGCCGACTCCTCCAGCAGTCCGATGAGTTCTCAGTTACGTTACCTGCCTTAACCAGTTTTTTATCGTATTTCGGGTAGGTCAGTAGGTCTTTTCGTGGTCTGCTAGGCTCACTTCAGCTGCTCTAGGATGTCACCTTCACCTCACCTCCTAGCCCTCTCCTCTTCACTCCTATCATCCCAGCACACGAGCTGCCCTTTGGTTCTCTGAATGAGCAAAGCTGCTGCTTCTTCGGGAACTTTGATTCTCACACACACACACACACACACACACACACACACACACACACACACAAACAGCAATTAAATGTACAAAGGATGCGGAGTCACCAGAATACTAGACTGGGAAGAGACTGAAACACACAGAATAAGTTTAAATCAAGCTCTGCCCCTTTTCGCCCATGTGACCTTAGGTAAAAGTGGCTACTTTTTTTTAACTACTCAAACCTTTTCATCTGTAACGACAACAAAAATACGGAAACCACTGCCAACTTCCTAAAGCTGCAGGGAAAGCGAAGAAGAACTGATGTCAAACATCTGTCCTTGGTGGATGCCAAACGACGTTGCTCCCTTTCCTCCGTCAGAGAATCCTTCTCTCAAAGACTACAAATATTTCAACTATGAAATGGGTAAGAATTTCAACCTAAGTTAAAACAACTGAGTGCAATGATCAGAAAAAACACACATTTTCAAAATTAGTTTTCACCCTGCCTCTGGAAATGATGCCCTGCATGGCACTCAACACTCCCTGCGCTCTGAACCTTCAACCCCTCACGTGAGATATACTGCATTTCCAACAGTTTGGAAAAGAATCATCATATTCTCAAAAAAGTACAGCACATACGTATACGTGAAACAGCAAGGATTATTTCAGGAAGGCACTACTAACGCCCTAAAAATAAATGTGTATTGCATCTCCCTGACTCCTCCCGCCCTCACTTCCTAGAAGCCTGGAGTCTGCCCTAAAGAAACCCACTATGCCTCAGGCACCCAGTCTCTCCATGTATGCAGGGCTCCTGTTATTTTTAGCACATTTGTCAGGGACAGCTGCTGCAGAGTAGAAGGGCAGAAAACAAGAAGCAACGCGGAAGGAACACAGCCGTGCATGGTAGGCCAGGAGAAGGGGAGCAAAGAACAGACTGAACACAATGTTCAGTCAAAACACTTAGTGGAAAAACAAAAAACAAAAACCAAGGACATTAAGAGAAAAAAGTTGTAGCCAGTAGTCAAGAAAGTGACGTCCTATCCCAAGATTTCCAAATTTCCTGGGAACTGCCAAATTGGTAAAAGGCTTGTTAATTACAGGTCAAGTTCACAACAGCTCTATCAATATTTTGCAATGAAAAAAGAGAAATCAATAATCAATCCTATCTTAGCTTCTCTTAAAAATCGATACTCTCTCATCTCAATTAAGGCCTTTATAGCTGTTATCTATCCTGGGGGCCTCATGCTAGCCTCTACCTTTGATTTACCCATCACAGCCCCACGGTGGAGGCAATTATCCATTTAAAGGATGGACAAGTGACTCTCAGAAGCTCACAGGTAATAAGCAGCAAAGACAAGATTCACATCCAGGCCTGCCTGGCCTCAGAGCTGAGCTCTGACACACACTGTCTGTCTCCACTTCATGTCTTTTATTCTTCCACAAGCTAGAAGCCATGCCCTACCCACCGGCGTCCCCAGTGACAGGCAAGGCTCCTGGGCTCATGCCTTTAGAAGTGTTACTAGAATGATCATTCTGCAAAAGCAGACTGGAGGCCTTGCCCCCGCTCTGGGAGCATCGGGAAGCCACAAGCAAGGTTTTATTTCCGGCAGCTGGTGTTGGAGGAGGAGGAGGAAGAGGATGCAGAGGAAGGATGGAGGGGTGAGGACTGCTGAAGAGAGGTCCTAGGTGCAATGTTACCTGCATTCTGCTGGGATGGGGAAAGGCCCGGGAGCGGCGGTCAGAGGTCTGTCCCACGTGGTAAGGCGGGAACCGCCGCCGGTACTGAGGGCGATACTGGGGGCGGCGCAGCTGACTCCGGGCGCCAGGGAACTGCCCGTCAGTGGCAGGGGGGTCAAATCCTTCACTGCTGCCGCTCCCTTCCTCCTCCTCCTCCCCAGCGTACTAGCGAAGCAAAGAAACAGAGGTTCAGAAGGAGTTTCAGCAAGGAAAGAACCAAAGAATACCATTTAGAGTGAATATCACTGAAAGAAAAACAATTTCCCCCAAAGGAACGATTCTACTATACAGACAAAAATGCATTTAACCCAGATTATCAGGTGACTTCCTGGGATAAACGATTTTAAGATTAAAGTAGATCTGTGCAGATAAAATACCAAGAAGCAGAAAAGCAAGTGCCATCACTCTGTAACGCATTTGGTAAGCATCTAATAATTACAATCGGTGAGTTATCAGTTGATCAACCACCCAAAAAACATCTACAAGGTTTATAATATTTACCTCCACCAAATGTGTCTCCATCAACATTTGCCATCCACTGGGGCAAAGTCAAGAAAAATATATTTCTTGGTGGCTGGTGTTACCAACAGGTTGGTCCAAAGTGGTTTGCTTCCTGGAGCAGTTCTCAAAGTGTGGACAGGGTCTCTGAAACCCTCCCCAAGGCGTTATCAAGGTCAAATTATCCTCAAAGTGCTAGTAAGGTACTATCTGTCTGCCTCTTCCCCTCTCATGAGTGTTGGGGGGCGGTGTCGCCCAGAAGCTCGAGTGACTCGTGGTCTCTCGGCAGCCAGAATGCAGAAGGGCTGTGGGAACCCAGCTGTCTTCTACTAAACCAGACATCAGAGATTTGCAAAATATAAAGCAACACCACTCTTCTCACTCAATTTAAAAATCTGGTTTTCATTAAAAAAAAAGTTACTTATATTTATATGTAATGAGTTTATTTTAAATAAATTAAATGTTTTAAATTTCTGCCTTAATTTCTAATGCAATAAATATTAAGATATAAAACCACACAAATAAAAGCTCTGGGATCCCATATTTAGGCACATAAATGGGTCCAAAACCAAAAGGTTTGAGAACCACTGACTTAGGCCATGGTTCTCCTTGTGTGTTTAGGAATAGTTTTAATTGCACTTTAATATATAGTAGTAAGTAATAGATAGATACAGACAGTTTCTAAATATAGTCCTTATTAACAAAGCAAATTATTGACTCATTTTATATTTTTTCCTATATTTAAACTACCATATCACATACTAATGTTTTATAGAAAAAAATATATAAGCAAGCAGCTAAACACCCCTCAAAGAAATTTTTACTTTGATTCTTACTTTAAAGAGGAATTGCAACAACACAGGCAGGCTTAAGGGAAGTAACTGTGATTTTTTAAATGAAAAAAAATAAAATGCCTGATTTTGAGGGTGAGGCCATTTAAGGTTTAGAACCTTCCAGAGCCAAGCCCACATGGGCAACTAAATTCCCAAAGAGGAAAAACTTCGACTTCAGACTTAACTAGTCCAATTTCAGAAAAACCAGGCCCTTCTACACTTTATGAAACTGGTATCCGATATAGTCCCCAACGACGTAAAGACACGTCAGCACAGAAAACGCCGACCAAACTATGAGTGAGACTCGGTAAAGTGCTTTCTCGGTAGGTTTTTCTGTGTCTTTTGAGCTGCGTGGAGCCAAACCCTTCATCGGGAGTTCCCCTTGACAAAACAAGAGTAATGGCACCACCATTGCCACGCATGCTCTTGACAGACACTCAACAAGCCGCTGGGACTTAGAGGCATCAGAGCAGGAAATCTTCCTTTATGTTTACATTCGGAATTTTGCCAATTTTATTTCTAAGTATTTTTCACCTGCATGACTTTAGAAATTTCCAGCTGAGAAGGAAAGTCTTTAAAGAGAAAATCTGCACTAAAGGTTTTCTACCACTTTCACTTCTAAATTAGCCTAGAAATCAAAAAAACTAAAACTTGAGCTCCGTGAATCTGGTGAACTTGAGTTAGCAGTAAACTCTATGGTAGTGCAATCTTACCACCCCCTACACAGCTTATTATTAAAAATTAAATACAAAAAGCAAAACATAGGTAAGAAAAATATATAAAGAGAAAAACAATATGCCATGAGGGATCTGACAAAAACCAATGTGGGCTGCATTCGAAGATGGCAGAATAAAGAGAGGAAGCACTCAGGGCAACAGAGATATGAAGCTATCAACGTGCAGAGATAAATCATTCGCAGTCTGCAAATACCTTTTTCTGGTGAGATTTTTTCAAAAGTATTCCTTGGATAATATACATAGCCCCAGTGCTGGGCCTACAAAGCGTCTTCAGTTTTATTCTATAGCATGAACCTCAGGTACTAATTCTAGAAATGTCCAGAAATGACTCAAATCTAACAGGCTCCCCGTGACCACAGATGAATGGGATTCTTCTGGGTGCCTTGAGAATGCTTTAAACTGAGCCTCCTCAGAAAACTGGCCAGACAAGGTTGTAGACCCTTCCACCTGGATTGGTACCAATCTAAAGAACGAAAAATCTGGAGAACCACTTATTGCCTCTTTGCTTTGAAATAATGGGAAATGCTATGCTAAATAAAACAGCCACAAAACTGAGGCAAATTATTGACTATTTCTGTGGCCCGCACTGTTTATTGCGTATTCCTCAACTATTCCCCCCCTTCCTCTTTGCCAACCAAAGGCTGATTTTCTTAGAAGTTAACGGTACCAGCGCCAAGGGATGAACAACAGGTTTAAGGCAATCACAGAAATCCCATTCCCCGGTCCCAGTGAGTGACAGGTTCCAGCCGGACAAGGGAGCCACATGAAGAGAAAGCCTTTTGGACAACCTTGGCACAGCCCACCTTAATTAAGCCTTCTTGTTACGGGATAATTATATGTCTGCTACTTGCAGCCAAATACACAGAAACTGATACAATTTCTGAATGGTGAGTTTCCACTAGGACCAGTGGCTACAGATCAATGCTGGACGCTAAAAATTTCCCATCAAAAAAAAAAAAATCATTGTGTCTCCAGAAGATACAGCATTTATCTGCTCCAAGTATCTACACTTAATTTTAGCTGTGAAGACATCTTCAGTCAACATTAGGCTGGGGGACCACGTACATTGCGGGGCGGCCCCCGGCGGCGGCCGTAGTAGCCGCGGCGGTACCGGCGCCGGTCCGCAGCGTAGCGGCTCCCTTCCACGGGCACTCCATCCGGGCCGGTCACGTTGGCTGCTTCTGCCCCCTGAGAAAGAAAACAGAGGCGGCCTCAAAATTAAAAAGAAGCCAACCTAACCACCAACAAAGCCACCGTAGACCGCCAGAGTTACAGGCTGCCAGAAGGTACCAGAAACTCCGATCATGACCTCAAAAGCACACCCACGTTTTCTAGGGTTAGCAAGATGCTTGCTGTCCTGCTTTAAATGTACACAGCTGGTCTGCTTCCACAGCCTGAACCGTGCCTTCTTCTTTGGTTCAAGAGCAGGACTCACCTCCTCAAAGAACAAACTGGTAAATATAATGAAACTGTAAGTGCAGAAACGCTAGACTGGGAAGAATACTCCTCAGGAAAATAACTGAGATACTGTTATCTTCCTAGAGAAGTTGCAGCCTACGTGTTACTCTCCGAGGTACTAAGAATCCGCTCGTGGGCTTCCATGGCTCTGTCCAGCATCAAGTTATCATGACGGAAACGTCTCCCATCTCAGCAGCAGCAGGAACGAAGGGTCCTTGACTGAGCTTCCACATACGTACAGTCTCCACAAATGTGGTCACTCTTTAAACCTTCTTCTTATCCTTGAACAGACTTGGCATTCTTATTCTCATATGGACAAATGGATCAAATGGTTCAAAAATATAATTCGGACAAAGGAGATTCAAAAGAGTGTATTATTACACACTCTACATCAATTTGTATAACCTCAAATTCGGAAAATACACAGAGGTAAAATTAACCTAGCAGAACAAAATTTTAAGAGCTGGATGGGACATCAGAGATCACTACCGGCCAGCATTTGCTGGTAAATGATTTCAAATTCCATGAGATTTGCAAGATACCTGGGGGATCACATTGGTAAAGAAGTCATTTAAATTTCTATATTAGATGAAACAAAGTGTTTTTCTTTTAAAATAGAAAACAGTTTGAGAGCTGCTAAGAACATGGGCTGTGGAGTGGTGCGTATGTGAAAAGAGCAGGCGCACGGGAGGCGACTAGCCATTCACTCAGCTTGTAACTCAGCTGAGACGGCTGGTTACCTGCCAAGGCAGCTCCAACACAGACAGTTTTAAAATGTTTTTGTCCCTCTTTAACATCATTTTACTGATCTCTATAATAGACTGCTGATTAAACACAAAGATTAAAGGACACTGCTAATATTGGAATTAAATATGTAACAGCATAAAAAAAAATTCTGCAGATGCACATCAGGATGATCCATTGGCCCCTTGGGTTGTTCTTCATCTGAACACAGTTGTCATACAGGCCACAGGTGCCTCTGGCTTTCCAAAAGCCAAGCCAAAGAGAAAACACAATGATTATATTTGATTTGAATCTTCTTTTACTGTGACTAAAACACTATTTATTGTGTATTATTTGTGCAGAAGAGCTTGCAAATCACAGCCTAAAATCTTTAGTCTTAGAAAAAGAAATCTTTGGCACCAAAGCAGCTTTAATCTATTTTAACACTATAAAACCATTTAATTTTAATCTATACTTGAATATACACTTAGTACCAAAATAAAATATTTAACACTATAAAACCATTTAATTTTAATCTATACTTGAATATACACCTGGTGCCAAAATAAAATATGTCATGTTAAATCTTGAGAAATTAGCTTTTCCTTCCATAATGAAATAGGGTTCATCATTTATTAAAATAGAAATTAAATGTGCTTTTATATTATATCAAACAACACATACGATGCCATTCAATAATCAGAAATGTTTTTACTCAAGTCCCTTCTTTCTGTCATTCAAAAACTCCAAAGCCCTGTCAATTCATTAAGGGCTGAGAGACCATTTACTCTGTGAGAAGGCCGTACCAGCAGCCTGGGCACCCAACCACCGCCTCCTCTCACCTTCTCTCCTTCGACCACATCAAACTCTACAGTTTCTCCATCTCCTACACTGCGCAGATATTTCCGTGGGTTATTTTTCTTGATGGCGGTCTGTCAAGAGAATAGAAAATTCCAAATAAAGTATATGCCCAAACTGGCCACAGATTTCATCACCTTCAAGTCTCCCAGTTATACTGAAGAAATTGTTGCTCCAATATTACTTTTTAAACTTATTCTCCCAACAAACCTGGATCTCCAAAACCACAACAAAAACAAATCAAAAAAGCGCTATAAACCTATGTTCCACATTACTTTCTTGATTCATGTTATCCTTCAAAATCCATCTTGATAGGTGGATTAAGCAGTGCACAGTTACAGCCTGACACCTGGCTGCGATGTTGGGTAGATTACTTCCCCCGCACTGTTAAGTGTCTAAGATTCACACTTTATCTTCATGAGGGGAGGGCGGAGGGGATGCTTTCATGAAATCTTACACGCAGAAACACACAAATACGTTCTAAGGCAGAGATTTCATAGATGAGAGAAACTGCCAACCTCAAAGGAAGTTTCAAAAATGCCAAGGGGATAAATATTTCTGATAGAATATACAAAATTACCTCAACATTAACATTAACATTACAATCTTCCCCCTCCCATGTTATGGCTGAGGGAACCAACCGGAGGCTAGTAAGTGATTTATCTGAGATCACAAAAGACAGCCTGGGGAAGACAGCGGGGAGGAGGAGGGAAGGGGGGAGCATGTATACCCCTGTGCTCTTACCTATATGCTAGTTACTCAAAATTTTCCCATCTCACCATTCACAAGTCACCTCATCCCTACACAGTCCCTGATAACACACTGAAAAGTTAATGAAAATGCTCTCCTGCACTGAACACCTGCACATAAATATCTGCTTGTGAAACAGGCCCGTTTTTTCCAATCAGTGGAAGGAAGAGAATGATTCCTGCAAATAAAATTTTCCATTTCTTTAGCTGGTATCTCTAAATAGTTAAAGGGGCCTCTGAGTTTCTTTGGAACTAGGTCAACCTTATTTTATAAAGCGATTAGGCATGTGTAATCCAGCCCTTCCCTTACTCTGAGTAGGAGGGAGGGGAAAAAAAAAAAAGAATGAACCAATAGGGCAGAGACCTCACCCACAGAGGAAAAAGGCAGCTCAGGACAGGATATACGCGCAGGCAGCCTGAACACTCAGCCATTCCAAAAACAGCCCCTCCCTGCCGGCTCGCTCCCTTTTTCCTGTCAAACTGGGCGAGCCTTGGCACACCAAGGTGACTCACTGCACAGCCTCCCCCCGGGGCTGGAATCAGGTCACAACTCACAGGCGGATGAAGCTGGCCATGGGTACAGAGACTCCTTTCACTCCAGCCGTCCCCAAAACGTCGAGTTCTTACCCCAAAAGGCCTAGTAGCCTCTAGGTGTTATAAGCAACACTTTCTTTCAGTCTGTTATGACTAAAAGTCACTGTGTCCGGACAAAATAACCTACTCCAGCGACCGAGGTACAACTGAAATGTCACTCATAGAAACCACAACGGGAGACTCTATCCTTCCACATCACTATCTCCAGGAACCAGACTCCACCCCGGTATACACGTGGTGCTAAACAGAAGGAAACACACACACACACACACAGCCAGCTGCTGGCCAGCCTGCAGGTGAACATGCCGGTGCTGGTACCTGCCTCTGCGTCTCCTTGTCGTTACAGACTAAGAACTACACACACATGAGACAATTCACTGAAACCTAATGCACGGAACGAACAGTTAGCACACCTACTCCTTTCAACCTATTTTGTAAAGCCAAGTCCAGGACACATAATGTCCTATTAGAACAACATCCTAGGCTAATACGGTGAAGAAAGACTAAGGTTCCTATAGCAGAGAAGCCCACATTTTCCAGATTTTACCAATTTGCTACATTTCCTTTGAATCTAGGGGAATGTGGGCCTTTTTGCCCCGCCCACATACATGCTAACCCAGCCTGGTTTCAGCAGGAGTGAGGACCAGCGTGGGAATCAGGAGCTTTCTCCAGTCTTAGGTACACACACCCCAACCATCGGCTTCGCTATGCTGCGCTATTCACTTCAAGTTCCAGCTGCTCTGACAGGGAACCCTTCACCAATGCCCGCCCAGGCCGAAGAGGACAGGTCCCAGCCAAACACTACGGAGGAACCACAAAGGCAGGAGAATAGGATGCTGACATGGAGACCCAAGGGCTTTTTGCTAAAGCTTTAAAATTCAGAAAGTGGTCTGACAGTACTTCCTTAAACTGCAAAAATAAAAACTGTGTGAAAACAGTATGATGGGACAGAGGAGCTTATGTGCTCATCTTCAAAAGTGGAACTGAGCACTCTTGCCAAAAGAAAATCCCAGAAAGAGCTGGAGTAGAGCAACAGTGTGCAGGACCTTACCTTGGGAAGGGGACGACAGCACATTACAGACGCCCCTCCCCTCAAAGAGCAAACGTCACATTTATTCTCCCACTTACCTGATGGACAAATACATCTTCTTTGGTGTCATTTCTATTGGAAGATAAAAAGTTCACAATTAAAGGTACTAGGTATGTGAACAAATGTAAAAGAACAGATGTTTTGTGAGTTTGGATTCCCAGACCTCAAAACACAACATGTTTGTTTATCCTTGAAACTTAATTCAGATGCCTCAAAGCATCCTCATTAAAAACTTCTAAACCCTCAAGATACCCACCCTACTCCAAGTGACCCCAGTGCTTCGAAACAGGCATACAGATTCAACAGCCAGAAACATCCCTTTCCTCTCAGCTCTTCCTAAATCACATGCTGTGTAACCAGAGCCCCAGATTCCCCTCCCAGCAAAGCAAAGCAAAGCAAGATGGTTAAAAGGACAGGGCACAGCTGTGAACGAGGCTCTCCTTACACTGAAACCTAAAACAGCTCCACCCTCGTCCTAATCACCCCAACGCACCCACCAAAATATGCAAGGAAGAAACTAGAGGAATTTTTTAAGGGGGGGGTCATGGGCAGGGGAGTAAAGAAAATGAGGATATCATGTGGAAACATTATGACACCCCCAGCAGCTCTCAGTTGTGTTCTCTTTCCTATATGGCTGGAAGTTACCATGGCTTCAAGAAAACACTACAGTTTCCACACAGGACTTGGACCAGACCTGGGTTACAGATCCAGCTCAATTACTCATTAGTCGTGCGACCTTAGGAAAGTTGCTTAAGCAGTCTGAGACTCCACTTCTCCGTCTGTGACACCGTGGATATCGACTCAGTCATCCCCCGGCCCTTCCCATTTCTGATTTAATCCTCCCCCCACCACCTCTTGTCTTTTCATGGCCAGACTGTGTAAAACACGTTATTAATTTATCAGTGTTTTAGAAATGTATTTAATTAATATTTTCTGATCAGATTAGAAATGAGAATATTTACAGTGCTCAGAAATCTTAAAACTTAACACCAGCCATCAATAAAGGATGGGAAGAGACACCAACAACAGGTGCCACAACATAAGTACACATTGAAGACATGCAGAGATACACACACCTACCGATTTATAAATCCGTATCCATTTCTGACGTTGAACCATTTGACAGTGCCAAGGACTTTGGTGGCTAAAATAGGATTAAGCAGATAAATTAGTATCTGACCTACAAAGAGATACAGCTCATACCACTAAGGTCTTGATAGCATTATTTAAAGCCTAAACATACCTGAGGAAACCATTAAAAGCTTAACTCCAAAGTATATCGGGAAGGAAAATGGAGCAAGTGAAAATGTCACAGGGAAAAACTTTTCAGAAGACTAAACCTTTCTTCCCTGTTAAACTTTTCAGTAAAGTCCTAAGATCAGGAATGGGCATAAGTCTATATAACTCTGCAAGAGGCAAAATTGAGAAACACCATTCAAGGAAAAACAAAACCAAAAAAATGCTCTTTAAAGTTTTGTTTGTTTGGTTTGTATATTTTTTTAAATTGACATGTAGTCAGTTTACAATGTCATGTCAATTTCTGGTGTACAGCATAATGCTTCAGTCATACATGTACATACATATATTCGTTTTCCTCTTTAAAGTTTTAACACAGGAAATTTTTCTGAGTGCAAAGGAAAGGTCACAACGCAAGAGACTGCAGACACACAAACAAAGTATGTACCAATGACCTGACACATAACTTTCACACTCTCAAATAGTGGGCAAACTTTAAACAGTGAAATAGTAGCTCCTTGTTAGTAGCTAATCTACAAAGACCTGAAGAAACTTGTCTCAGTGCCAGACGGGGCCTATCAGGGAGTCAAGAGTAATAATAGAAGTGATGCGGTCTCAGCCCAGTTCTGTCCTTACCACCCTGAGACATGATGTAACAGGCCTTTTCAAAGCAGTGATGAATTTCGGATTCTGTTTCATTGTTTACCCTACTCTCCACAGCTGGTGGGAATCAAACAGCATTTTCTTAATAACATCCCTCTCTTTACCTTGATGATTGTCTGTACTTTGTGTCGTGAGTACATTTCTGCACAACACTAGATTTCAATACATTTAAGAGAAGGAATCCAAACAAACAGTATGGCCATATAACTTGTACTCGCAGATTCGTATCTATTTCAGCCACTTATGATTTTAGATGACTCCTTTGAATCGACTGTGAATAGCAAATCCAGTACTTCTAGGACATGCCTATGTCTAAGTTCAGGACATGCATAAAGCAATGATCAAGACTCAGTGAAACAGGAACAATAGGGAACTTTGAAAAAGAAAAAAAAACATGCTTAGCAGAGAATGGAAGTAACAATTAACATTAATCCGAGCTGCCTCTCTATGAGATACAAAGTTTTTAATTTCCAAGGATAAACAATAAGGATTCAGTTTTTGAATTCAAGACTAAAACAGTCATTAGGACTTGTTTTGCTGTGGGCGGGGTTAGTTCTGAGTTTTGCTAGACTGATATGCTGGGGAAGTATTTTAGCTCTCTTTGTAAAAAGAGGGGGAAAAAACATCTTTCTGCCTTCAGAGTCATTCTGCCCACCACTGACTGAGCAACCTCCAGACCTAATTCCAAGTAAGGAAGATCTTTCCAATGAAGAGATTAAACCCTTAAAATCTTCAGTTTTAGGCCTTTCTAATAACAGCAGCAAGGCAAAGAAGAAAAAAAATTCTGTATTTTAAATCCAAATGTACACATATGACTGTTTTTGATAAATTACATGCTTTTAAATCACACATTATTTCAAATCATATGCTTTTTGTCTCTCCTTTCATTTGCCCCACAATTAATGACCTAGAAGAACATAAGGAAAATGCAAAGCTAGGAACTCCTTTGATTCATTTTCATACAGTTAATGTCCCTAGGCACTGTCAAAGGCATGATCTTCGTTAGAAAAGCAACAGTACTCGGGAGAAAGATCAAAGTGGTTTCCAAGTATCACTTCCATCCAGGCTGCAGGTTACTTTTACTCCCTGTGTAGTTTTAAAAAGTTTCCTAATTCCACAAACATTCCCAACCACTTCATAAGGCTAAACGCATCCATGCACCCTTCTTGCCTTAAAACCATAAACTCACTTCACATCCACGGAGGGGGACATGGGGGCAGAGGAAGAATGTCAAGCTTCTATGATGTTCATTAGAAGGGAAATTTTCTTTCGGGAGGTGGACTCTTTCCCCAGCCTGTGGCTAAGCACTCAAGTTCAAGACTGTTTGTAAAATCGAGAATGGGAGAATCCCAAACCGGAATTCCATTTCAGTCGCTTTGTCCCTGGCACATTTCAGGCACCCATGTGTTTGCTTGGCTAAGGAAAAGGAGATGGCAGAACACACTGGACAGAGACCGTGTTGAAATATCAGGTAGAAGGCTGTCTGTCATCTGAAGAGCTGGAGTGACAGTGGAAAGGTCAAAGACCTCCATACTCATCACCAGGGATGTTAGAGGCTTACAAGCAGTTGGTGGTTGAGGAAGTTAATTTATCTGTTTCCTTCATCTTTAAAGATGTCTGTTTCGGCTTAAAATTTGAGAAGATTAGTCAGAACCAGAAGGATACAAGAATCAAGTGAAAAACTGCAAAATGCCTTTACAGGAAAATAAGTTATCATTAAGAATATATCTTAATACTGCTTTGGATAAGCCAAGGCTGTCTCTCTGACATTCTGCATGGAAGTGTTCCAAGAAACACTTGTTGGAAACAGTATCACAATGCAACACCAAGGAGATACAAGCAACTTTTAGTCTGGTGAACTGAGGCTGTTTTGTTTCTTAACCTACACAAGTTACATCGAACATGTTGACAGTAACTAAGTAAAATTTAGCCCTTGAAAAACATGAAAACAGGCCCCTTAAGGCAGGAAACATTAGATGGCACTTTTCTTTCTTCACATTACTCCCCCAGTTTTCTTCCTAGAAAATTGGTCAGGCAAGACTCAGAGTCATCAAACAAATCCCACCCAAAATAGTGAGAATTTCTCTAAAGCATCCTACACGCTTTCTTAACTCTCCTGTTTAAAAAAAGAGTGAATGAAAAAACAAACACTCACCTTTTAGAGACCTGATTCCCCACCCACCTGCTTTATGAGCCCGTTTGGGCCTCACACAGGGCGTCACTTAAGGAGAGAACGCGCCAAAATACATGACAAAACCAACAATGACCACAGGACACCCTTTGTAATGCTCTGCCCCACCCCGGACCCGAACATCTCATCTTCCCATTTCCTTTCTTAAGTTACCAGTCCCAAGATAACGATGCTGTGAACTAACGTCATTTCCACACTTCCGAGGAAGTTTTTTCAGCTGCTGCACGAAATGCTTTCCCACAATCCAGGAAGAAGACAACGTGTAGCGATTGGTAAACACTGAACGGTTCTCTGCAGCAGCGGGCTCAGAGAGGGAGGAGGACGCGGGACCCAGAGCCAAGTTTCCCGGAGAGGATTGCAACACCTCTCTGCCGGCATGTGGCCGACAGCAGCATGGCCTGGTTCCCGTGCCCCTGTGGGAAGGGCGTCAGGGACAGACACCTGAGCCTTCCCGGCAAGAAGCTTTTCCAACTTCCCCTCCCGGTCTCCGAGCGCCTTCCTCTCCCCCGAAAGAAATGCTCTCCGCGATCCTAAGCGAGGACCCCTAAGTTCCCGTCCGACATATGTACCTGTCCCATCCCTCCATCCACATGCATCCCAACCCCGGGTCCTTCCTCCCGACTGCCGCTCCTTGCCCCTTCGCATCCGGGCCTGCTTCGCCGCCGGAGCGTGCGACAGTGCCCGTCTCGGGGACCCAAGACCCCAGCTTGCGGGCCCTGGACCGGGAGGGC